AGATCGAGTGAAGTTTTGATGATCCGATCTATGACGCGATCACGTCCCACGTCTCGATCGCGAGGAAAAAGAACTCTGCGATCCAGGGCTGTTCAGCGAGGTATGCGAGTGGTGGAGATCGTGTAAACTGATATATATATATATATGTATATCTGTAAAGGTATATATGTATATATATATACACATATATGTATGTAGGTATACTATGCTTTACTATACTATACTCTACCATACTATTCTACTCCTCAATTTGGCCAGGAATGTTGGTGCGTGGTGTTAGCTCGATGCAGCAACGAGATGCTGATTTGGATGGTTTACGACTGCGGCGTTACTGCTGGCTCCTAGCTTGGTTTTACAGGTCCGAGCGAGATTGGGGGCACTTGGCCAGTGAGACGGTGCAGCGCCGCAAGGCACAGCAATTCAACGGAAGGTTCAACCGTAACCCTGCCAATCCCTGGCCTCTGCTGCCACTGTGTGTGCACCCCGCTTTGTTGGGAAGGCACGAAGACATTCTACGATGCCGACAGAGCTGGAGCCACTCCAAGGTCTTTAGGGTTCGAACCCAGAACATATGTTGGCATCGGGCGTATGGTCCGCTTGGCCCTCGGGCGGTCCCGCTGCAACCTCGTGACATCCCGACAGTTTCGAGCTCGCCGGACACTTTGTCCCCGTTTGGCTTGGGAAGCCATCCACATGTCCCGGGAAGCCTTGGCGAAGGTGGCAGCTGTAACCTTCATGGAAGTTGTTTATCTGCGAATGAGTTCTTAGATAGATAACCATAGAACGACACAGCCGATTGAAGTTCAGCACTTCCCGCCTGTGGATGAGGAACATCCAACTTGATGTCTCTAATTTCTCTGACTGTTCCTGTGCAAGACCTTGAAGGCTGCAGCAGCAGCTATTGCCATTGTTCTTCTGGCACTTAGAATCGTACTATTTGTAGTTGTTGCTGTACCTTCAGTCACCACGTCAGTCCCAACTGTGTAGTGAAGCTACAGCGACGTTAATCGATGATCCATGACCGGGTTCCGGTGGTGGTTATGGCGTGCAATGCTATATACGAAAGGCATAGGTACTCTTTCCACATGTATAGTGTATGCACCGTGCATAACTTGTTGTAAAGATGATCATCATCATCATCATCATCATCATCATCATCACCTTCATCACCACCATCATTTATCATCATCATCGTGGGTTGTTGGGTTGTTGTTGCTGTTTTTGCTTCTGTTGTTGCTGTTGTTGCTGTTGTTGCTGCTGTTGTCATTGTCCTTGTTGTCGGTGTCGTGGTCGTGGTGGTGGTGGTGGTGGTGGTGGTGGCTGTTGCTATGCAAGATGTTGATGTGGTTGTGGCTGTTGTGATTGTAGTGGAGATACCAGCGCTGTCTAGTCAAGTCAGTCCTTACAGGTAAATAGGTGAGTGCACTGCTTACGGGGTGCTCACAAAAGAGGAATCTCTTCACTCAGTTGAGGATTGTTAGTCGTCTTCTTCAAGCATATTGCTAGCTACTTGTTATCGTTTTCCTCATCCGCAGTGCCTCTTGGGGACTTTCAGCTCTCGCTTGTTGGATTTGGATGCTGATCGCCTGCGTGCTTGGAGTTAGAGACGTTGGCCCTCCGAAGGCTGCCGAGCATTATTCGATACAGGCGATCAGGCTCCCAACTCACAACTGTGGCCTGGATCAGGATCGAAGCTTACAGCTGTCGGACCTGAGAGGCAGCAGTGCTTCATGTGGTAGTCATGTGGTAGTTGTGTTGCCGTTCTTGATTCCTGTCCGTCCTCCCGATCCACTTCTCTTGATGCTTCGGCTAAGCGTTCAGAGTGAGGTATGACATGTTCTTGCTTTTTCGAGGATTTGAGACCTGGTCATCGGGAATGGGAGGGCGGACCGGGAAATTGTTTCTGTTTTGCTCGATGCTGCATGCTGAACTTCTGATAAAGTTGTTGCAAGCTTCGAGCAGCTGAGATTGCGGAGCGCACAGAATTGCCAGAAACAGCTCCGGAAAAGCACTGAGCACAGCCGTGTTTTCGACCAGTTGTGCACGAGGGCATGACATTGCGTCGAGTTTAAAAGCGGGAGCTGTGGCTGAAGGGCATCAGGTTCTCTTGGTTGGTTTCCGGAGCGTTTGCGAGGACCTTCGAAACCTTCACAAAGATGTCCGAGAGGTTTTGGAGGCCAGAAGCCCAGAGGTGCATTGGTACATCGGATTCATGCAGATTCTGAGGTGCACCGAGGTTCCGGGCAAGCCCCGGGCTTTCAGGCCGCGACCTTGTCAGCCAATGTAGCTCCTTTTGAAGAAGGCCTATTGCCGTGTTTCTGCAGGACCGGAACAAGCCGGATCAGGAAATGGCAGATATGCACAAATCCATCGCTGAAAGCTTGCAAGCCGCGTGTCAGGCCATGCGCACACTCACGCAACGCATCTGAGTATGAGTAGGACTTCTTGGCTGCGATCTTAATGAGACCCTGGAGACTGCAGGACATCATGCAGAAGCACATGGAGCAGTACTGCCAACGCGCGATTCCTAGCTGCCCGAGCGCTCGCTATTGGAAGCTTCGGCAGAAGTAGGGCCGGGACTGATGGTGCCCCGAAGGTGTGCAGAGGCATTCATCCCAGAAGGCCTGCCATCAGAGCTAGAACTTTCTGAACTTGGGCCCTCACAGTGCCAGGATCTTGCCTCTCCTTCTCGGCAAGGCTGCGCATCTGCAAAGAGCGCTTACGTCAATGCCCCCCCCCCCCCCCCCCCCNNCCCCCCCCCCCCCCCCGCATGCACACAAGGGGACTTCCTTCCTCCCAACACATGCACGCCACGGCACCTTTGTGCAGATCGGTGCAGATCAAAAGCTGCTGAGGCAAGGCGACGGACAACGAGAATACCGATGACGAGGTCAGTCTGCTTGACTATTGCATGCAAGAGCCCCAGACAGCCTACAAGGGTGATGATCGGATGACTAGGACTAGGATTCCCTCCCTGCCTTCCTCCATCCCTCCCTCACTTCCTGCCCTACGCTCCCCTCCCCTGCCCTACCCTCCCCTCCCCTCCCCCGAATCAATGGAATGGAAAGAAAGTGATGGTGATGACAGCGTGATAACGCAAATCAGCGGCATCGTTGTTGTCGTCGTCACCAGTATGACCATCACCTAATCACTACCACTGCCCGCAACATCACCAGAGCAACATCGTGTCCGAATGAGAGAGTCTCGAATGAGTTCAGAGAGGTTCGTGCATGCACTTCGCGAGCTTGGTTTCTGAGTGCTGAGGATTGCGGAGACGATGCAGCCGGCGCATGTCTCATCTGCCTCTGCGACGCCTTTTCGTAAAGTTTCCGCAATGGAACACTGCCCGGGGTAGGGTGGTGCGGGAGTCTGTGATGTGCCTTGTCCGATGCCACCGTCGCAGGTGGACTCTTGTGAACGGCTCGAGCCGAAACAGGAGCTGGAAAGCACAGCAGAATAGAGGCAGACACAAATGGCATGAGGTGGCTTGATTTGCATGTCTACCATGTGTGTCGTAAACTTCTGAAGTTTGATCACATGAGTGATGCTGCCATGGATGGACTTGCAAAGTGCCAAGCTGCTTTGAGCGGCTTGGCACCGCGTCTCGCCCCAAACTGCACAGCAGCCAGCAGCGTCTCCTTTGAGGGCGTGGCTGATGTGCTCCAGAAGATCTATGTGAACGAGGGTGTGCGATCAGGGCTGAAGCAGATGGTTGAATCAGCCACCACGTGTCCCTACTGTGGCAGAAAGGCTGAGTACGTCGACTTGGAATGGCATGTTGATGTTGCCAAGCGGCGGACTTGGCCAAAGTCTTGTACTGTCATCTGCAAGTATTGTGCAGATGTTCGCGATCTGCCTTCTTTGGTCAAGAGGCTCTGCTTTGAGAAGGAGAGTGCTTTCTCGTCTCGGACGCTGCGCCATTTCCTAGAAGTCAACAACCTTGACGCGGCCAAGTCGCATCTTTTTCAAGATGCCATCTCTGTAGCTCATGCCATGCTGGCCCTGCAGAAGGGATTGAAGCTGACTCCCAGCCGGGGACCACCGCTGCAGGAGCTGCTGAATATGAACTCTGTTGCTTCTCCACAATCTCAGGAGAAGACAAGAAAAATCAAGACCAAGAAAGCTGGGCAGAAAAAGTGAGCGCTGAAGCGCACGGATTGTCGAGCTGTCATCCGATGCTAGAGCTGAGTTGCAAATAGCTTCTGCACTAGCCATGCCCTGAGGCCAGAGTTTCGCGTCCAGGCCGTTTTTCTCCCTCTGTAGGTGGAAGTTGGCAAACATGATCAGACTATGCCAGGCGGTGAAGGCTTGTCCTGGCCAACCTCTAGCAGCCCGAAACGGGAAGCGCCGCCTGGCTCTCGTCTTTGTTGACATTGTCAACGAAGTCCAGACTTCTGCGCTGCTTTAGCATCTCAGTTCAGCATCACATCTGATATCCGAACTTTGTGGACACTAAGCCACTAAGCTGTTTGTCTTTCCATGATGGACTTGAGGTGCCGTACCGTGGAGGATGCCAGTGCCACTATCGCTGCAGTTGCGACCATTCAAGTACCGTCAAGTCACGTCACTTCAGCCGCTTTTAGAGAGCGCAGCGCGGTGATGTTGCACACGAGAGCCCGAACCATGATTTCAGGCCTCGGTCCACGGGTGCAGTGACGTACTGCTACAGCCCCTAGCTGAGAAGCCAAATCGTCAGAGCTCTGAGAAGCTTAAAGAGACCAATCTATCCGGACTTGTCTCGTCGCGGTGAGCCTGCCCGGAAAGTGTTTCAACAAAGGCTGCCGCATGCAGCAACAGAGGCGTGGTCGCTGCTGTTGAAGTTGACCACCGCGTGCATGGTGTTGTTCGAGTTTCTGCGTTGCACTTGACCTCCCGCGCCTCTGAACAAATAAAGCCGGGATCGGCCGGAATGCAGATAACAACAGTCGTGGCAACGATGTTATAGCCCCAACGAGAACAACGGTCCTAACAACTGCCGGACTAGCAAGAAGGCAAGAGAAGCAAAAGGAGTAGGCCCTAGGCAGCACATGCAATCACCTACAGGACCAGGGCCTTCAGTTCCTAAGCTTGAGAGCCGGAGGCCCTTGAGAGCCACCTCGACGAGCTGACCGTGCGCACAGCGGCGCGAAGGCAGGGACAGCTGCAAGTACCTTCTCAGGCCCTCTGAGTCCTCTGAATGGTGCTCATCGCTGCTATTCTTCGGCTATGCTCGACCAGAAGCACTGAGAGAGGGGGCCGCAATGCCAAGGATCACACTCAACGCTGCAGGCCAGCTCCCGCCTCAGTCACTTGGTGGTCTGCCAGGAGTCTCGGGTTTGCAGTTCCATGACGCGGACCGGGCATCAGTAAAGCTTACGCCGTCACTAGTGCGCATGAACGAGCTCCCCAAACCATGGTTGCCGAGTCCCTTCGTCGAGGGGGCCCAGGCATCAGAGCAGGGCGGGGTGCCAAGTGCTGGGCAGCAGAAATGGTGGCACTGTTGGCGTGTGTGTTTTGTGCATTTTTTTTTCTCAGGCCGTTTTGCTATCATGCAACTATCCGTGAGCACCGCCAGGGCAAAGAAGCGAGCAAGACTGTCTATCCGACAGTTGCAACAATGCTTGTAAATTCTCAAACTCGCACAAGAGTGACATTCCTGCTACTACAAATGATGGTACTTGCACCCGGTGCGTACCGCTAGCGTCACCGGGTGCTTGCTTAGGTTTGTGTTAGACACGTTACTGTCCTTCGCCGCAAAACTAGCCAATCTTTTGAACGTGGCAACTCCGTTGCTAGACTACAGTCTACAGCCCAGCCGAATCAGATGCGATTTTGGGACGTTCTCAGCACGAGCATGGCATTGGTCTGTAGGTGTGAAGCAGATCGTCCAAGAGATTTTGCAAGGCCTCGCGGAGGACATGTTTCGGTGGACTGTTTTACATACTTTTGTCTAGGTGCCCCAGTAGTACCCTTTTGCCCTTTTTAGTTTGGGGTCCCCTTAGTAAAACCGAATATTAAGAAAAAGGGTATCCTTAT